CACATTTTCTGATTACGCGTCTTACACCCGAGTTGCCCTTCACTATCCAATACTTCCTCCTAAGGGATTCCAGAACCTATGAAGTACCTGAATATCCATCGATGCTATGGTGTTGTATTGTGAAAGGCAGTACAAAAGGGGTCCAGGTTAGCGACCGAATCAAGAATGGGGCTCATCAGATCAGACGCGCAGACGCAACGGCGGGAAGTACCTCGCGGGACAATGTTGACGACCACCTGAAACGAGCGAATCAACAATTACAGCCCGACAGACAATCCGCAGCTAACGGGAAAGATATCCATCGAATGCCACAATGTGGGAGCTGTCGATCAACGCATCTCGCACCACGATTGGGTCAAACCAGGCGGAATGGCACGCGGAAGAAGAGGCAATATACGTCCCAAATGCGGACCAAAACCAACAAGGAATGACCCACGGAAAGAGGCGTGAATCACCCCGCCGTGCGGTTGAGAATTGATTGTATATAACCGGACGCATACACCGTTTGCTTTAGAATTGAATCAATAGACCTTTTGCTCAGCCAGCTCGCCTTCTTGCTACGGTGGTGCCGTCGCCCAAGTCAGCACAATGCAATGAAGCTACTTTGGTGAAACGCGTTTAGAGACGAAGATGTGGAGAAAAGGGTTCGTGATTTTGAATTAATCACATCGTGCAACGGCATCAAAGGGAGTGCGCACCTGAACACCGCGTTGGGTGCACTGCTTTCCGGAAGAGTGAGGGCCGCTTACAATTTGAATTTGGAAAACAACCAAGCCCTGAACTATCAGAATTTGAAAGCTGCATTGTTGGCAGACTTTTCAAAGGAGGGTGACCGCGAGAAGGCGATGAACCGGTTTTACGCCGCGGAGTACATCCGCACTGAGGACCCGTTGGTGCACTACCAGTACATAAAGCGAAAAATTTCCCTGGACCTGCCGCAGGCGGATAACGAAACACGGGAAGGGCTTGCCAAAGACCGTTTCATACAAAGCATGCCGGAACAGGTGAAAGGCAAACTGAGACTTGCGTTGGCGTGCGGATAGAATGATGCAGAGGGCCTAATTTCGATTGCGCAAGCCTGTCAACATGATGACGTGGTTGCTCGGGTGGATGCTGCTGAAACCGAAGAGAAGATTGAACGAATATTTGGAGAAATTGGAAGACTAAAGGAAGACTTCAAATGAACAGGAATTATCCCAGCCGGTCACTGGGGGGGGGCTGTGGAACATTCTGATTCTTTGGAAAGTGTTACGTTTGCTAGTCTGGTCAGTGCTGTTTCATGTGCAGATTCAGATATTAAGGATATCGATATATTTATATTGCGGGTTTCTCAATTAGAGCATGAGTTGAGATTAGCCAGATAGCAGATAGAACAGGCCAAACGTGAAAAGACAGATTCCAACGGCGCAACAATACCTCAAGCTAGACTACACTTAGTTCCCTTTCTCTGAATAAAGAATCCGTCCGCAGCAAAGAACGTATGCCCATGTGAACGTTGAGTTGCCAAGAGTCAAACTGACACCATTCGACGGCGATCCCGAACAATATTGTCAATTCATTCGCCAACACGAAAATTTCATTGAATGCAAACCGACGATGTAGCACAAAGGTTTGTTTTCTTGCTGCACTACTGTTGTGGATCAGCCAAAGAAGCCATACATGGGTGTGCAATGCTGGACCCAGAAGTTAGCTATCCGAGAGCTATAAATATACTAAAGGAGATGTTTTGCCAACCATTCTGAGTGGCACGAAACATGATTGACGGGGTGCTGGCAGAAACGAGACGCACACCAGGCAACACTAGGTCTCCAGCAAACCTGGTCGTCAAGATGCAGAACTGCAGCATCGCCCTAAACCACCTCGAATATCGGTCGGACCTGGATGCACTTCATACGCTGGAATCGATAGTCAGATGTTTTTCTGCCGAACTACAGACAGCCTGGGCGACCGAATCCGATCAAATCGAGAAGGAATACAGAGGCAACAAAATTTTATCGGTGAGGTTCGATTCTGGACAGACCCTATGAGTGTACTCTACTACACAAAGAATATAAATACCGGATTCAATACGTTCGTGGCCATTCAAATCGGATTATTCCATCCGTTTTCTTCTCCTAGTGATTGGGCGCATGTAACGTCGGTGGAGACCACCGCAGACTAGACCTCGAGAGGTATATACAACAAGAAAGACCTAAAAGGGCCGACTGATTACTTCCCCGGAGGAGCTACCATGGGACGCTATCCCAGAGGCCATCGAAATAAAAGGGTCTGCAAACATAAACGCGACAATTGCCACTCATGCGTTCCTCTATCACTATTCAGACTGGTGGCGACTCACCTAGGCTCATCTTATATTTCTGTGTCCGGAAATTGCATCATTCGGGTGAGTGCTTACCACACGGGTAAATAACCATGCGAGAGATGGCTGAGGCCGAAATTAATATCTTCAAGATGGTGCAAAAGTTTTCCTGGGAGAGAAATCGCTCAAAACAACTGCGGAAGATTCGCATAAGTTTGGACCTGTACATAAACGTTGTCCAATTATGCCGAACGGTCTAATCTGTTCGGGTGGACGTCTGGGATACTCCAATTACCCAACTGCATTCAAACATCCGATCATCCTTCCAAATCGTCATCCCGTGTCAGAACTTATCTTACTGTAGCGAGATGGCGAGCTGGCTGAGCAAAAGGTCTATTGATTCAATTCTAAAGCAAACGGTGTATGCGTCCGGTTATATACAATCAATTCTCAACCGCACGGCGGGGTGATTCACGCCTCTTTCCGTGGGTCATTCCTTGTTGGTTTTGGTCCGCATTTGGGACGTATATTGCCTCTTCTTCCGCGTGCCATTCCGCCTGGTTTGACCCAATCGTGGTGCGAGATGCGTTGATCGACAGCTCCCACATTGTGGCATTCGATGGATATCTTTCCCGTTAGCTGCGGATTGTCTGTCGGGCTGTAATTGTTGATTCGCTCGTTTCAGGTGGTCGTCAACATTGTCCCGCGAGGTACTTCCCGCCGTTGCGTCTGCGCGTCTGGTCTGATGAGCCCCATTCTTGATTCGGTCGCTAACCAGGACCTTCTTTGTACCGCCTTCCATCACGCTCTCCTCTTCTCTAAAATGATTGCCACGAGTGTACTACCATTCCAGTTCTTCACCATTCATCCATCTTCCTTGAGGACCCTGATTTATCTGGAAACTGGAGTTCTTCCTCTTCATAACAGTGAATGGTCCCATCCACCTCTGCTTGAAATGTCCGGCCCCCGATCCTGTTGTTTCGTGTCTGCCTTGGTTCCTAACCTTTACCAACTGTCGCGATTTCAATATCGCCAACATTGACGGTCACAGTAAAGGTTTCAGTAGGGTTTGGTATTTTCAGACATCTCTCAGAAGCCGTATTTGGTTTTAGCTCTTGAAAGACCGTCTCCAACTCTGGTGTCCGCTGAAACTCCTTCCTTTCTCAGGAACTGGAACAAGGAAGCAGCATTTTCAGTGAAGTGGGGTAAAATATTTTGCATTGTATCCTACTGATCCCAAAAACGATCGCAATTGGCGTGTGGACTTTGGAGGAGAAAATTTTTGAATCGCATCAACCTTCTCGGGCAACGGTTTAATTTTACCTCTACCGACAATGTGACCTAATCCAGTGATTTTGTCCCGAGCGATTTAGCATTTCTTTGCACTGAGTTTCAACCCTGCATTTTTGATTCTCCCCAGCACCGCTTACAGCCAACGCCGTGTTTCTCTGGTTTCTTTGAGAACACTACAATATCGTTCCTGTACACTACAACACTGTTCAAGTTCTCCAATATTTGTAGGAACTGACGTCTGAACGTGGCTGGTGCATTGCACAGTCCGAACGGCATCCGAACGAATTCGTATTGCTGCCCCTTGACACAAAATGCTGTTTTCTCTCTGGCTGCTACTAGTAGTTGCCAATACCCAGACCTCAAGTCATTTAGTGACAGTACCGGTGCAGAGTGGATTTGTTCAAATATCTCATGCATCAGTGGCATCAGAAAGGCGTCCTTTATGGTTACGTGATTCAATTATCAAACGTCGACACAAAATCTGTAAGTACCGTCAGATTTTCTAGTGAGCAGCACCGGTGACGAGTACGGGCTGATAATTTTACAGATGATACCTTTTTACAGCATGTTCTATACCTCTTCCTCCACCTCCGGTAGTATCTTGTGAGGTATTCTTCGATACACCTGTTTACACGCGGCTCTTGGCATCAGTTCTATTTTGTGCTCTAACTGAAGTTTTGAAAATCCTTCCAAACCCATGATGATTCAAGGTGATATAGCTCTATCGGTGTTTTGCTCCTCTATTGACATTTCGCAATAACAAACATCATACATTGTTCTTTATCTGTTAATTCGATGCCCGACATATTTCCATTTGGCGTGATCAGAGATCGTGAACTACTGTTTGGCTCTCTCTAGACATCATATTTGGCTCACTTGCTTGCGTGCTTTTGGTCGCATATTTGAGGTTTGCTTTATTGTTTATTTTGTAATAATTTTTCTAATTCAGTGTCGTAGAATATTACGAATCGATCGTGTTTTATTTCGGGATTCGTATCGGTTTCGGCTACGCGTCACTCAAGTGTGAGTTGTTTGACGTACACCAACTAATCACAAAATCCATACTCGTCGTCCGCAGTAGAAAACAATTCGGAATACTTCTCAACGCATTGCTTAAAACACGGAATCGAACACTGCGGAACGGCCGATTTCCTTACAAGACTGACGGGAGAATGCGTTTGTTTTCCTGAGTTTAATCCAGGTGCTTGTGATTTCACGAGTAATTTACCCCCTTGAGAAATCGATCTTCGCATTCGCGCGCCTGAGCAGATCGACACCGATTATAACCTCATTCACACGTTCAATCAAGAACATCTCATGGGTAACGGTCACCCAACCAATCCGCGCACTGACACTTTGTTTACCCAAGTCTCTGAGTGGCATACCCCCAACCGCACGTAGGCTTACATTGCACGGGTTCATCGTAACCCCTTCCACCGGAGGCCTAATAGAAATCCCGGCACCCGTGTCAATCACGGTTATCGTTTTCCGTCCCAAAATGAAAGCCTCTAGCCTTGGAATCTCCCGGGTAGTTGGATTAGAAACACACTTCATCGAGAAAATTTGACAGACTCCTTCTTAGCGCTCAACGCAGCGGCTGCTAGCTCCGTTCGATGTATCGTCACGGGTTTAATTGGTGCCACCCTCGATTTACTGCAGAGCAATACACATTAGGGGGACCTTTCCTTAGGGGTGCGCCAGACGTAAGCAACTGCACCATAGCCGGATTCCGAAGCGTCGCAAAATATGTGCAGTTCGGTTTTCCCTGTCTGCTAGGAATCCTCTTTGCGTATAGCCCTTGGAATGCTGATTTTCCCGAGTTGACAAGTGAATGTTATCCACTCTTCCCACAAGTGGGAATACTCGGATATCAGCGGCTGATCTCAACCTAATTGGGCTTTACATAGGCGTTGCAGCAATTGTTTAGCAGGTAGGCAGATTGATGCGATTAGTTCAAGAGGGTCGAACATGGAGGCCACGGTCGATAATATGCCTTTCCTAGTTTTTGTTGTAGAAGTTGCATTGAAGCAAAAAACGAACACGTCTTCAATCGTATTCCACTCCAGACCCAACGCCTTTTTGAAGTATCAATTAGAGTAGGGATCTGTACTGTGGTGTCTGCTACCCCGGAATCTGGGAGGGAGTTAATCACCAACGGTAAGTTCGAAATCCACTTTCTCAAATTAAACCATTCTCAAAGTCACATTTCGCTTATCTCTCTGGCTGGACGTAAACGATATAAGACAATCGTTGACGTAAAAGTTGTCTTCTATTGCCTCAAAGAATGACCGATTGTAGAACACCCCAAAGGTCAAGGCGGTTTTGCGCAGCACGAAGTTAGAACAGAAGGGGATAAAGTAGCACCTAACGGGTGCGACACCATTTGGAACTCTGTAATTTTTTCGTTCACACCTCCTGCTGTCCACCAGAGGCAACGTAATGCACCTGTCTTCCTCTGGCACCTTGACCTGCATAAACATCTCAATATCGGCCAACAACGAGATCCGCCGATTGCGAAACCGGAGGAGTATTGAGACAAGGTTCACCGTTGTGTCAGGTCCTTGTAGCACCATACTGTTTAATGGCTTGCCAATGTACTTGGCGGCGCAGTCTAATACTATACGGATCTTGTCCGGTTTCTTTGAGTTGATCACGGCATTGTGCGGTAGATACCATCTCGGCTGGCATTCTTCGTGAAGCTGTTAGGCGGGGACCGGGGTCGGGTACCCCTTATCGATCATTAGTTTCATCAATTTTGTGTACCTTTTTCGTAGAGTTTCGTCACGTACCAAACGGCCCTTAAGTTGATTCAAACGCACCAATACTGATTTATAATTTTCCGAGCCGTTATTGGCGCCTTTTCCCCACGGAAGAGGCACTACGAAAAGACCCTCGGTGAACTGCGCTCCGTTTTCTACTATCCGGATGGCTTCCGCATCTTCCATTGATGGAGCTGAGTTTAACGATTGTAAATCTGAGAATTCCATATCGTATATCTTATGCAGCACATCCAGCGGTATCAAGCTCTCTCCGGTAACACAATTAACTGACCTCGACTGATATGTTTTACAGCTTGTGGGTCCAAATATAACCCAACCAAGTGGAGTACAATCAGCATAGGGATTTTTCCGACCACTCAGTCTCTGTTCCAGCGTCCAGTGAGCCTCGGGTACATCGCAGCCAGTCAGCAGCAGGACATCTCCTTCTACTTCCTCGATCTTAAAATCAGCCAAATGAGGCCAACCTTTGGTCTTTTGTCGAATAGGTACGGTGGGATTCCTTACGGGTAGCTCGTCTACTAATACCGCATGATCAATGTGGATAGATTCTGAGCTACCTAAGGCGAGTACTTCAAAACCTGTTTTTGTTATGAGAGTCTTTCTGGATCTAGCTAGAGTTTTCACAACCACCGAAGTTCGCTGCAGACTCAGAACAACCGCTTTGCTACCTCTGCCATGATAAGTGTTGTGTCAGACCCGGTGTCCAGGAGTGCGTAACCCACGGTTTCTCTCTCACCAACCTGCAGTCTCGCTGTCAATATACCTAGGCACACCTCATTTGATTGCAAGCTCGTTGCGGCACAGTGACTTTCTTTTGTGCCAGGACACTCTTGACCTTCTGCCCANCAGTAGGCTATGATGATGCCTATTACAGCCTGTAGTGGCACACATGGTTCTTGATTTATACTCCCTAGCTCGATGGTTTTCTCGTAGACACATGAAGGATACTCCCATCCTCTTTGCTTCAGACCATCACTCGGATATTGGCAGACTAACCAACTTTTGACTGAATTAGACGGAATGCTCATCCACACAAATGACGCATTTTTCAATGGGTATACTGATGGGGACTGAAGACATATTGGTCACCAATCTATGTCCCGGATTACGCTTAAACTCTGTTTAGCCCGTTAGTCGATTGGCCTTGCTCAGCTAATTGCCCGAAGCGGCTATGTGCAATTCTCACCCATGAAGAAAAGAAATCTGTCAATTCCTTAAAGGTTGGCTCGCGTCCATTCAGAGTTATTCTATCGACTGAGTCTGCCCATGAACGCTGCAAGGCGTATGGAAATGTTATCACAATTTTTTCCAACATCACCAAGGAATTAAGGTCGAACACGTATCCCATTTAATCTAGCGTGATTATGCAGTTCTCCATTCTAACTGCCAACCTAGACAGGGACTCTGAGCCGCTCCGGATACCCATAATGTTTTCCACAACAATGTCTAAAAGCGCGCTTGTAGTGACAGTGTCAACCCTTTCCGCTCATGTACCCTTCTCATCTTCCGGATCTTGTTGTTTTACCGGACTAAGATAACCTCGTTGGTCACGGTACGTTGACTTTCACGTTCTGCACGATTACTTACCTGTACGCTTCTCTCTACTCTCCAGCTCATTACAATACAACCGTCGTTGAGGTTTCGTGATATCAGTCGTTCTGCTTTGGTTCGCTACCTCGTCCGTTGTTAGACGTACGAATTCGTGGACACCATTAGCCCAGAGACTAAACGCGCTCAACCTCGTGCGGTTAATTAAACAGATCTTTCAATATGGCCTGGGTCCGGTGACACCCGGACGAAGAGGGCAGCATGACGCATTCTTCTATTACTTTCCTTGCTTTACCTCTACAACAGTCTTTGTCCATCGTCTGAGGTTTTGGAAGCTACGTAGATTTGGAACTGCCGAATGAATTTCCAATACATTCCTGGCCGCCCGCCGAACGAAAACAGCTTCACTTTCGGCAGCATGTGATTGATTGAAACCATTGGCTCCAGGTGCTGTACCGCGCTCTCTTTCCGACGTGCCTTGGCTGATGCAAACCTGCGGGTGGCCTCAGGGTTATCTAACGAGTCTCCTTTCAGTAAATCATCGTGCTCGCAGCGAGGGGTGCTAAGCTGTTGTAAAGAATTTGCAGACAAATGCAGGGATTTCGCAAAGTCGGCGTGATCGGTTATTCTGCATGAGCCTAAGCTTTGCTGCAGATCTAAGAGTTCTTCTCGTTGCTTTTCTTCTAGGTATCTTAGCTCCTGTTCTTGTCGCTCTTTAAGATGCCTTTCTTTTAACTCTAACAATTTAGATTTATCACTAAGACGACTACTATGCCGACTAACCTTACTAATACGAGAGCCATGAACAGAAAAACCAAAAAAAGAAACTTGCCGGGGATGATCGGTGGCAGCATCAGTTTCGGAAGTTGACTTTCCACTTCGTGTGACTGGCATTGTATGTGGATTTCCAGTTGAGCGCTCCTCAGGAACCTGGAGTTGTATTGAATACCGTAATTTCCAAAACGACTCGTTCTGGCTCCACCGTAGCCCGAGTGCAATCAAAGTTTTATAAGAGATGATGAATACTCCAACCCTTTAACATGCTTTCAAGATCACAATTTTAAACTAATATGCCTCAAGTTCGCATTCATCCGCGGGTGGCATAATGCAAATAAAGGCACTTAAAAATCAGTAAAATGATTTGCAAACATCACACAATTATTACTATTTCATGGTAATGCCTTAAAACAAAAACACAGGTGAGGATACTATTGGACACCTCCGCCGAACCGCTATTTAGAGGTAGAAATTCTGGCAATGAAAATTGATCCAAAGACTCATACGAGTCTTTTATGCAACATTTGAAACTGGAAGAATCGTCCACAGACGTCATCGATAGCTTACCAGTACGCTTCATCACGCAGAAATGCGGTGGGGGTAGCCATATTGGTTGTTTTCCCACCAACACATTAGCGCGTTTTTTCGCCGGAATTTCGATCTCCAAATCGTGGTTTTCCTACATAGTAACCTAAAATGTCTCTGGCAGGGTTATATGCACTAAAAAACCCCAAAATTGACTAGCGGCATTCCGCGTGAATTGTAGGAAAACGCGCAAGATCCTGTTGCTCTCCGACGTTATCTGCGCTTACGGTGTTATGTGGCTTGTCACCTTTTAGACGCGAGATACACTCGGGCAGGTATTCAATGCACGAATACCCGTGATCTGTTGCCAAGGCCGGACACTCTATATACGAATGCTAACACGACCAATCACCTGTGCACCTGGGCTCTCCTGGAAGTCACTGAGAAACAGTGAAACCTTGACCTTGACCGCGCGGTTCGAATTTCGAAGAGAGGAAGATCAATTCGCTTTTGGTGGATCATCCTGATCAGAAGCGAACTTCACTGAGAGGATCGCTGTACTCAAGTCAACCGAAGCAGGCAACTATTTCAAATTCAAGATAAATCGGGAGTGTTCCCGAAAGGAGTATTGACGATACACGTACATTCACGCTCCCCACAGGATTAAGGCAGATTAATGGTGAGCATAAGGAGTTATTTAGCAGTTTGTGACGATCTATTGAAGGTAATCCGTTTCCACACGTTCTGTTTTCGTCCTGCTGGCCAGCTACCCATCGGGCTTTTCTATTCCATTCGCTAGAGGTTATTACTCATTAGGTCACTTTTTACTCTACTTCATCCAAACTTTTTCCACCGAACTCCCACAAATTGGTGAGAATGGCTAGGCATAACTCTATAGGATCACCCTCGAGTCTCGGCGGGAGGTGTAGGAAGTGTTCCAAAGCCGTAAAAAATGGTATCTCCTGCGACACCTGCGACCAGTGGTTTCATCGTGCTTGCAGTAAGCTTATCCCCCTCATGCTTACCGATTGTACCTAGATAAGGTGGAGCTTAAATGGGTTTGTTGTGACTGTTCACAACTAATTACACAAAGTCGCACTTCAGCGCAACAGCAAACCGATAAAGACAACATAACCGATGAGGCGACAGTCATAGAGCTAAGGAAATGCCAACCGACAAAAATCCTCGAATTAGAGGCAGTTAGGGCAAGTCTGGAAGCTCTTGAGGCAAACATGAGGTCAGAACTCCGGGGGCTCCAATCAAACATTAATGTTAGAACAGCTAGTTTGTCAGAGATTAGGAAGGAGGTGACCAGAATGGCTTCCCAGATTAAATTCTGGGCCACAAAACGGGCATCGCAACAGGCAGGCAGTGAAACGTTGTCATCAAAGGAATGGAATAGTCGCTCTGCAGCAGTGTCGGACTGAGAGAAAGGGATCTGAGACACCGTGTCGCCTCCCGGCCCATGCACTAATCAAAAGGATTTACAGGCCTGGGAAATGGTCTAACGCACAGGTAAGTATAGCGCGTTTCTCAAGACCAGTTCTCGTAGAATTTGGCAACCAGAGATTCCGGGATGCATTCCTGGCGGCGGCGGGTAGATTAAAGTGTTTGACGAATGGGAAGGTAGGCGTCGAACCGGATAACGCATCTATGTATGCAGTCTTTCGCCGACAGGCATCACCAACTAACACGACATACGGCGATTCCCGGGGTAACTCACCGAGGATAGAGCTCAGTAGATTGGAGCATCAGTTACCGGTAAGCGCTGCTCAACGTACCACATCCACTCCCAGATTCGGTTCAACTACACCAAAACTATCTCCCACAGGGCACAGACGTAACGATGAAGGCCCAGAGCTCGCGTTATCAGGAGGGATGACAGTGGTCACAGCTAATCGTAAGGACAGGCCGGATGATGTTGTGCCAACTGAGTCGGAGGCTGGCAAGGGATTGTGGGCTACGGTGGCTCAAAGGGCCAGTGTTGACTTCATTCCCTCTGCGGCGCCTCAGCGACTGAGGGCCAAAAGTATGCCAGCGACAAAAACGAAGAGGGCTCTCGAGCAGTTTGCCCGAGTGCACACTAGGCCCTAGTGACACCAAGGCTGAAAGGGGGCTTGGGCTGGAGGGTTATCAGCATTCTACACGAACGCCTGCAGCCTAGGCAACAAGTGGAGAGAATTAACGGCTGTAACCGTAGGATCAGAATGTACTGTGATTGCCGAGACATGACTACATGAAACCATCACAACGGAGAGCCTGCAGCTCACCGGGTACTGTGCGTACATGTCGGATAGAGAAGATGGTAGGGGTGGAGGTGGCATATTGCTCCTTGTTTCGGACACCATAGATCAGGCCGAGGGCGATCACATGTCCACGACAAATATCCAGGCGTGCTCATGCACCATACAATCCCCGAACTGCATAGCGACGGTAGTAGTTGCCTACAGAGCACCACTCTCAGATGAGGAGGAGGATGGCCAACTGTGCGACTATCTGGCCAGGGTAAGCAACCATGCGGAGCGGTTGGTTATCATGGGTGACTTCAACTCTCCGGAGGTAGACTGGGAAAGCCTGTGGGCCCCGTCGCTCTGGTTTTGGTAGAAAACTAGTGGACTTGATGACAGTGCTGACCCTAGTGCAGCACGTCAATCAACCCACTAGATGGCAGGAGGGGAAAAGGCCTAGCATGTTGTACCTAGTTCTGTCCAAGATGCCGCAGGATGTGGAACAGCTCGAGGTTTCTGCTCCCCTTCGGGCTTAGTGACCATGGAATACTCAGGTTCCACGTCAGGGAAAACCCTCCCCCGGTCCCACATAAGCTCAGGAGGGACTATAGGAAGCTGGATGTCCTAGTGCTCAGGCAAGTCACAGAGGCAATCCAGTGGACAACAGATGGCCTCCACATCGTGGAGCAGGAGTGGCAGTTATTCAAAGACAGCATCATCCGGCTCACGGATGTTTTCGCTCCCCTGAGACGGGTCAGAAGACGAGGCCGTCTGCCTAGGTGGGCAAAAAAGGTAGTCAGGGCACAAGCCATGAAGCGGAGGGCTTGGAACTGTTTCAGGAACAGGGGTGGCCATCGTCAGCACTTGAGTTATCGGGCGGCGAGAGAAAGCGCAATTAGGACTCAGAGACACTGCCAAAAAGAATATGGCAGTAGGATTGCTCGAAATGCCAAACAGCGACCAACTACCACCTACTACAACTATGTGCAGTCTAAGGCTCACTCAAGGGTTGTGGTTGGTAATCTAGTAAATGCAGACGGTGTCAGCGCAGCCTCCAGCAAGGAGAAGGCTGAAGTTCTAAAGAACTTCTTCGAGAAGGTTCGCTTAACCGACCTGGGAAGGCCGTTGCCTAACCTTCTACGTAGACTCCCCGAACAGCGCATGGCCCCGTTTGTATTAGAGGCAAAGGAGGTAGAAGCAGCACTGAAACAATTAGATCAGAACAAGGCCGCGGGCCCGGATGGGCTGCATTCAGCAATACTGCGACCCATTGAGAACATTATTGCAGGTGCGCTTACTCAGCTTTACAACCTATCCCTTGACTCTGCAACGCTGCCGGCAGACTGGATCATGGCAGAAGTGGTGCCAATCCCCAAGGGAGGATCAAGGGCGAATGCATCCAACTATCTTCCAGCAATCCTGCTTTTGGTTGTCCTGAAAACCTTCGAGCGGCCTCTCAGGGAGAAGTTAGTGGGTTACTTGGACGACAAACACCTCACAGCTGGCTAAAAACACGGCTTTGTCAACAGAAAGTCGTGTCTCACTAACCTCCTATCATTTCTGGACGAGGTAACAGACAGGTTGGACGCAAGGTATCGAGTCGAAGTGTGCTACCTAGATTTCAGGAAAGCCTTCGACTCGGTCAACCACAGATTCCTCCTAAGCAAACTGGAAGCCCTACGCGTAGGCCAGCAGCTAGTGAAGTGGATCAAAGCCTACCTACACGGAAGGACGTTCCGTGTAAGGGTCGAACAGGAAACCTCGGGGACGGCAGCAGTCTGTAGTGTGGTACCCCAAGGCTCAGTCCTTGGTCCTATACTATTTGTGCTGTATGTACATGACGTCACTGAGGTCTTCCGGTGCCCTGGGTTCCTATTCGCAGATGACCTAGAAGTAGTCGGGGATTCCCACATCGGGGGATTCGCAGGATGCACTCAACGCAAATGATGACTGGGTGGCCTCATGGGAACTACCTCTCAACGGCAGCAAGTTGGGATGATTGTAGAAGTAATAGTAGTAATACGCACGGAATTCGGAACACCAACCACGCAATATGAATTACAGGACCCGAATCGGTAATGAGCTATCACGGACTGGATCGCAGAATCAATGTCCCACGAGAATGAGACGCGAGGAAAAGGCCAGAGGACAGCAAGTAAGTAGTTCGTTCATTGGAAGAAATGAAGGTGATTAAATAATATATACAAACGGAGATTATTGGCTACCTAGGCATCCACCAATTGGATTGCAGCACTGCTTGCATAATCTTGCCTCTGTCTGCATTGTCTTGGATTGGCTGGTACCATCCGCCAATGACGTGTATTCAGAAGCTATGCACGTGCTATAGACGTCAGCATTTAAACTTGATTGACCGCCAATGTCCTGAAACTGTAACGCGCCGCTCCAGAGTAGGCGCCATCGTGTAGGCCTGGATCACCACACAAGTGCAGGCACCTGGTGGTAAATAAAGGGTCAGTGGAGGTGCGACAACTAGGTGCTGGGTCGAAAAGCACCATAGAACTTGCAGATGTAGTCAAGGATCTAGAGCTGCAGATACACTCATCCTTTAAACCTTCAGTGCAATGCGCGGCAGCCGCAACGAAGGCCAGTAAAACCTTATTCCAACCCTGCCGAACCGTAATATCGAGGGAGGCTTAAGTACTCTTGCCACTGTATAAGGCTTTTCTGCGACCGCATTTGGAGTACTGTTTCCAGGCGTGGGCCCCTCTCTTAGTAAGGGAAAAGCAACAACTTGGGGCAGTACAAAGAAGATTCACCCGGATGATCAGTGGACAGCAGGGAAAGTCCTACAAAGAAGGGTTAGCGGAAATTAACTTATTCTCATTGCATCGCCGTCGCCTGAAAGAGGGGTTGATTGACATGTTAAAACAGCTAAAATGAATGACAGTAACAGATAGATCCTTGTTTACACGAAACTTCAGAGGGCATGAACTGAATCTGATGAAACCACGGGCCAACGGAAGTGTAGTGA